GGCCATTTTTTGGTTGCAGCCATCATTGTTGTTTGGCGGGCCCAGGCTGGGGATTCAAACCCGCCACCTTAGGTGTATGTGGCTGGCGTCTCAGCCGCTTGAGCCACAGGCGCGGAGCCCTGTTTAACTTTTCAAAAAGTGCTGCTCACTGTGGCTTGAGCTCAGTCGAGGAAATCTGGTAGGAATCTTAGGAGGTTAGGCTGCATCAGTCTTGAAGCCTACTGCCTGTCCCTATGCAATAGCAGGTCACTGTGCCCATTTGAAGGGAGGACGTCTTTCTTTCCTTGACAACTTAACATTTCTAGGTTTTTTACATCTTAGAGCTTGTCTTAGGGGTTTCCTGCAAAGGGATGAGAGTGTTTGTCATGAGAAGAGTAGCTACTGCTTCAAGAGAAAGTGTTGTCTAACAGTGTGCCCACAGATCTGATTCTCAGTAAGTACTTGTTATACACATTAAAGAGTTGCTTTTCTTCTTGTTTTTTTTTTTTGATACCTTAAAATTAGTTGTCCCTGCACCAGCTCACAGTGAGATTTGGTAAATACTAAGAACATCGGTACATGTAATTATTGCTTGCTACTTTTTCGAAGTTGTCAGCCAATACCAAATTATTTGAGAAACAAATAGGAAAGATGTATTTGTTAACAAAGTTAACTGGGAAAGAATTTCTCATTCCCACAGTTCAGCTTGGCTTTATTCCATCCCACATTTCAAGATGCAGTCTTGTGTAGGTGAGGCCGGGACCAGTTTGGGGGCTTTGACCAGAGACATTAATACCTTTTCCAGGTCCAGCCGTGTAGTGTATTTTACCCAAGAAAGCAGAGACCCAAGACCAAGATCAAGTAGTCTGCAACAGCCTAACCCATAAATGTATAAGGGACCAGGGTGTCACAGATAATATTTCTGAGAGGAAAAAAGACCTCAGGCCATGGTTGACACTGGAGGCAGTCTCACCAGCCTGGATTTCACATATTTGGCCCCAGTATCTTCTTGAATTCAGTGTCCTTACTGTTGTATTCTGTTCCAGCTGCTGGGAAATATTGTTTTAAGCATTTTTGTTATCCTGTAGCTGTCGTAGACTACATGGCGTTCTTACTTTCCTTGTGTAAGGGCTTTGAAGTCTGAAAGGAGAGCAGACATAAAATACTTAGAACTAAGCACCATTTAGTTATCAACTTTGATAAAAGTCTTAAAGGAACAAGTGCAGTTTTAAGAGCCAGATTTAGATAGGGTAACAACGCTACTTGAGGTTGCTCTCTAAGTTGTTAATGGGACCCATTTCAGATTCTGTCTCTTTACTCTGCTAAACTACGTTGTTTACATTCTTGATGTTTGGCTGCTCTCTTTTACTTCTTAGTTGTTTCTTAGTTGATCAAAGCTCTGTCTCTGATTCTCTGTTACGTTTTTTCTTTGCTAAGAGTCACAGACCCAGATACAAAGGCAGGGAAGGAAGCTTTGAGTGATGCTGGCCCGATGGCAGCTGTGATGACCAGTGGGGCACTGGTGACTGAAGAGTGTGCTCTTTCCAAAGGAGACCACTTCTTAGCTCCAGGCATTGTTGCCATTGTAAAATATAGCCTAGGGTTTCATAGTTACCATTTTTTTCTAGAAAATATGGAAAACTGCATTTTTAGGTGCAATCTGTTGATTTTTTAAAAAATGTTGGTAGTTCTAAAATGCTGTTGAGCAGAAAACACATTTGCGTACCCAAGGCAGCAACCTTCTGGCCATTAGTTTTTAATTGTGGCTTTCTCATTTATTTCTTAGAGGTAGTTGAGATTGTATATGTATATGAATTCCTGGCATATCTTTAGTCCTAACTTTTCTTTCATGTGCCAGTCTATTTTCAAATTTGTTGTTGAATATTTTTGCTTTTGTGAGTATAAACTACAAAATCAAAATCATATTTCATCCTATAAACTGGCTAGCTTCCTCCTCAGTCTTTTCAGTATTTCTAGCTTCTCTGGCTTAAAATCTTGAAGTCATTTTTGACATAATTCTTTAATTTTCCATTGAATTTTTAACTTCAGAATGACTCTCCAAAAATCATTCCTTTCTGTTTCTGTAGCTGCTCTTCATCAGCTCATGGCTGAATTACTTGGCCTCCTGGATTTGTTTCTCTGCTCTATTTACATACTGTCTTGCCTACTTCTAGTATAATACTTTTTCTTTCTGCTTAAACAGTTTCATGTACAATTTTTTTTTTAAATTTTGTGAATCCATGTTTATTTTATTGGATAATTGCAGAAAGTTCCTAGATGTTAAAGCTTTTGTTCAAGACAGTTATTTTTAAACTTTAGTGTGTATCATAATCACCTGTGGCCTTATAAACACGGATTTCTGGCCCCAGCCCCTCTTGTTTCTTGTTTAGTTGGTCTCCAGTGGGACAGAGAATTTGTATTTCTAACAAGTTGCCAGTGAGTGCTGATGGCTGGTCCAGGGACCGTACCTTGAAAACAACTGTTCCAAGAAGCCAGATTAGACATCATTTGAATGAAATAAGCCTGTTAAAGTGAATTAAGAAATTAGGAGTAGGCTCAGCACCCATAGCACAGTGGTTACAGCGCTGGCCACATGTACCAAGGCTGGCGGGTTTGGTCCTGGGCCAGCTAAACAAGAATGACAACTGCAACAAAAAAGTAGCCGGGCCATGTGGCCAGCGCCTGTAGTCCTAGCTACTTGGGAGACTGAGGCAAGAGAATCACTTAAGCCCAAGAGTTTGAGGTTGCTGTGAGCTGTGATGCCATGATGCCATGACACTCTATTGAGGGCGACTTAGTGAAACTCTGTCTCAAAAAAAAAAAGGGGGGGGAGGTGAGTAATGAGATGTGTGTGTCTCCTTCCTTTCCAGGTGGCAGTGTGGGAGCCAATAGAAAGGAAAGAGAAGACCATAAATTGAGAATTACTTGGGGAGCCTGAATTCTCAAGTATATTTTGAGCTATAAAAGTTAATAATGCAGAAATCTTATTTATTTATTTATTTAGAGACAGAGTCTCACTGTGTTGCAGGCTAGAATGCCATGGCATCAGCTTAGTTCCTAGCAACCTCAAACTCCTGGATTCGAACTCCCACCTCAGCCTCTCAAGTAGCTGGAACTATAGATGCCCTCCACAATGCCCAGCTAATTTTTTCTATTTGTAGAGAGACAGGGTCTCACTCTTGCTCAGGCTGGTCTGGAACTCCTGAGTCCAAGGGATCCTCACACGTCAGCCTCCCAGAGTGCTTAGGATGACAGGGATGAGTCACATGCACATTACCTAATGTTACAGAATTTTAAATAATAGTTGAGTGGGAATTGGAACAAATGGAAGCAACATATGTATAATTATATGGACTCTGGTAAAGAGTTAGGTTGTGTGTATATGTAGTATATGAGTTTTTGTGGTATTGGGCCACCAAGTTTTGTGACCTATAAATGCTTTGTATTTGTTAGGTTTACATTAACTTTCTCTGAGTGAAATAAACATTTTATATATGTATATATTTATTTATTTTTGTTAAGATTCTATCTCAGAAACAAATCTGAGACTTGAATCTAGGCCAGTTTTCTCTGTTGACTCTTTATGCCGCAGGTCTTACTTAAATTGTTACGTAAAACTTGCCAATCTGGCAGCACCCTTTTTAACCTTGAACCGACATTTAGGTACTGGCCTCATTAAGGAATTCCAACTTATTTAGATTTAAAGAAATTAGCTCTGGCTCGGCGCCTATAGCTCAACCGGCTAGGGTGCCAGCCACGTACACCTAAGGTGGCGGGTTCGAATCCCCAGCCCGGACCCGCCAAAACAACAATGACGGCTGCAACCAAAAAATGGCCAGGTGTTGTGGCGGGCGCCTGTAGTCCCAGCTACTTGGGAGGCTAAGGCAGGAGACTCGCTTGAGCCCAGGAGTTGGAGGTTGCTGTGAGCTGTGATGCCACAGCACTCTACCCAGGGGGACAGCTTGAGGCTCTGTCTCAAAAAAAAAAAAAAAAAAGAAATTAGCTCTTACATTTTTTGATACATTAAAACTTCAAAAAAAAAGATAAAATCATGTCAAGTTGAAAAAAATTTAGGAATGGCATGTTAGGCTAAGTATAGTTCAGGTTTTAAAAGTGTATGAAAACTTTATTTAGAAAGTATTCCTAAATAAGCTAGGATCTGTCCCTTTAATTTTTATGAAGTATTGATTTTATTGACAACTTGTCTACACTTTGGAATCAGTGAGAGGCCCTTCAAACAAAATACCTATGCCTGTGTCCTATTGTTAGAGTTTGATTAAATTGGCCTTAGGTGTTATGTGGACATAGGAATTTCTGTAGGAGTCCCAAGGTGAGTCTTTTGTGCAGTACAGTTTTAGAGTCACTGATTTGATAAGAATATTTTATTTGGCTTGGCACCCATGGCTCAAGCGGCTAAAGCACCAGCCACATACACCTGAGCTGGTGGGTTCAAATCCAGTCTGGGCCAACCAAACAACAGTGACGGCTGCAACGAAAAAAATAGCTGGGTGTTGTGGCGGGCGCCTGTAATCCCAGCTACTTTACTTGGGAGGTAGAGGCAGGAGACTCGCTTGAGCCCAGGAGTTGGAGGTTGCTATGAGCTGTGATGCCATAGCACTCTACCCAGCTTGAGGCTCTGTATCAAAAAAAAAAAAAAAAGAATATTTTATTCATCATAAGGCAATTTCAAAATATTCTAGTACAGAAATGTAAAGTATAACTCATTTAAACATGAGTTGAAAGTGATTGCCCCTTTTTTGTAGTATTATTCAATTTGAATGTAATGTATAAAAGATAGTAACTTCTTAAAAGTAAGTTGGATTACAAATATTTTTATAAATTCATTCATCTAAGATGTGATTCTAAGTGGTAACAATAGTTATATATATATATTTTTAAGCCTCAGCTAGGTTGTATTGTTCTTCATGTCATCTTAAGTTATCTTTGAAACATTAACAAATGGGCAGTTTTTCAATTCCATCATATATATATTTACACATGTGCACAGTTCTTATCCGGCTGCTCTTGATACTACTTTTGGTCTTTTTCCATAGACCTTAAATTTAACTTCTTAAACAAGAAGGATGCATCTAAGTATATTCTAACTACAGTATTTTTGTATGTATCTGTCACTACATTGTGAGTTTCTCAAGGGTAAGAACTATATCTTTTATTGGAACTTTTTTCAATAAAAAAAGTTTTTTCAAGCATAACCATACATCTTGATGAATTTTCACAAACCCATCATAACCTGAAATCCAGTGTCTGGACCAAGAAATGAGCTATATCAGGATGCCAGAAGCTGCCCTCAAGTTCCTTCCAGTCACTGCCTTCTGTTGCTTTTTTACTTTATTTTAAAATTATAATTTGCATAAGGCACTCAGGTACATTATTCCAAAATTTTTAGCTTACTGAAACATTTCCTTAAGCATCAGTCCTATGACCATCATCTAGATAGAGAGGTTTTCCAACACTTGGTGTTTGTTTCTGCCTCTTCCTGGTTCCCCCAGTCCTTTACCATTCTCTCGTCTATTTTGACCAATTGTGTCTAAAGCTTTGTATTCCTAGCCCACAAAGCACTTTTATTTTATTTATTTATTTATTTTTGGATAGAGTCTCACTTTGTCACCCTTTTGAGTGCTATGGCATTATAGCTCATGGCAACCTCAAACTCTTGGGCTCAAGGGATTCTCTTGCCTCCGCCTCTCTAGTAGCTGGGACTATAGGCGCCCACCACAACACCTGGCTATTTCTAGAGACAGAGCCTGGCTCTTGGTTTGGCTGGTCTCCAACCTGTGAGTTCAGGCAATCCACCCTCTTCTGCCTCTCAGAGTGCAAGGATTACAGGTGTGAGCCACTGCACCTAGCCCCCCAAAGCACTTTTAAAACAAAATCGAAGTGTATTGTGTTCATTGCTTTATAACTTTGTTTCTTTTCATAATTTCTTTCATGACTATTTTCCACGTCACAAGTATTTAGAAAGTTTTAAAAGTATTTTTAGTACTGAAATACATAGGCTATGTAATGTTTATGTACAAATGACACTTTTAAAATTTCAGATTAATATATGAGTACAATGATTAGGTTATACTGTTTGTAAAGTCCAAGTTGTAGTTGAGCCCTTCACCCAGGAGATGTGCACATGGGGTGAAAGTTTACCAATCTCCCTCCCTCAACTTCTCTTCTCCCTCTCCCTCCTTAACCCACACCACTTGAATTTGTATTTGTCTCTCTTATAGGGGTTTAGTTGTTCATCTGCTGTTTTCATATTAGTATTTAGTACAATGGATACTTTTACATTCTTGTGATACTTTACTAAGGAGAGTGTTTCAACTCCATTCAGGTAAACACAAGAGATATAAAGTCTCCATTTTTTTAATGGCTGAATAGTATTCCATGGTATACACATACCACAGTTTTTAAATCCATTCCTGGGTTGATGGGTACTTGGATTGATTCCACATCATGGCAGTCGAGATGACATAATTTTAAAAAGGTTATTCTGTTTTTAGATATAGTTGCAAATATATATATATATTTTTGAGACAGAATCTCACTATGTTGCCCTCAGTAGAGTGCTGTGGCATCACAGCTCACAGCAACCTCAAACTCTTGGGCTTAAGCCATTCTCTTGCCTCAGGCTCCCAAGTCGCTGGGACCACAGGAGCCTGCCCCAATGCCCAGCTATTTTCTTGTTGCAGTTGTCATTGTTTAGCCGGCCCAGGCCGGGTTTGAACCTGCCATGTTTGGCGCATGTGGCTGGCACGGTAACCACTGTGCTATGGGCGCCGAGCCACAAATATCTTTATAGTGTGATCCAGCAATACACTCTTTGGTATTTGCCTAAATACCATGTCTCTGAGGTTTCATTAGTGCAAATGCTTGTGGAATTACTAGATCAAAGGGCATGATCAGTTTACAAGTTGTGGATCTGTATTTCTAGACTGCTACTAGAAGGGCAGAAGCCCTTTGTATATCTCTTGGCAGTGTCTAAGGATGCCTATTTCATTACCTACTTACCAAACCACTTTTTGTTAAATAATAGACTATTTTTTAGAGTAGTTTTAAGTTTACAGGAAAATGGAGCTGATAGTTTGGACAGAAAATTTTGACAGATAGGATGTATATCTACCATTACAGCATTATACCAGTTAGTTTCACTGTCCTAAACATCTCCTGTGTTCCATTATTTCCTTCCTTTCTTTCTCCCTCACTCCCTCCCCCACAAACTGTGGCAATCATTGGTCTTTCTGTTGATGTCTTAATTTTGCCTTTTCCAGGATACCTTGTAGTCAAAATACTAACAGTATGTAGCCTTTCAGATTGGCTTCTTTGCTCAGTAGTATGCATTTATATTTCTTCCCTTTTTTTCCTATTGCTTATTTCTTTTTATAGCTGAGTAATATTCCAAGATATGCTTGTACCAAAGTTAGTTTGTTCTTTATCCATTGAAAGACAACTCGATTACTCACACATTTTGACAATTAAGAATAAAGCTACCAGGGTGGCATCTGTGGCTCGGTGGGTAGGGCGCTGGCCCCATATTCCGGGGGTGGCAAGTTCAAACCCAGCCTTGGCTAAACTGCAACAACAACAAAAAAATAGCTGGGCACTGGCGGGAGCCTGTAGTCCCAGCTACTCGGAGGCTGAGGCGAGAGAATCACCTAAGCCCAAGAGCTGGAGGTTGCTGTGACCTGTGATGCCACGGCACTCTACCAAGGGTGACAAAGTGAGACTCTATCTCTACAAAATAAAACTAGAAAAAAAAATGAATAAAGTGATCATAAAATTCATGGGCAGGTTTTTTTGTGGATGTACGTTTTCAGCTCATTGAGGTAAATACAAGGAACATATTGCTGGATCACATGGTAAGAGTATGTTTAGTTTTGTAAGAAACTGCCAAACTGCCTTTCAAAGTAGCTGTGCCATTTTGTGTTCTTACCAGCAATGAATAAGAGTTAAAAATTTTTAACTTTTTATTTTAATACTTTCAGAAGATGATATAGTGTTTGTAAATTGAGACATGATTACCCACATTACTGTGCTCATTGTATTCTACATTTATTTTAGGTTTAATGCATTCAGAAGGACTAATATCATACTGCAACATTTGGTAAGTTTCAACTTTGTTTTGCTGGAATTATTAGATTACATGTATCATTTAAAATGTCATTGTTAGGTCAGGCATAGTAGCTCACACCTGTAATCCTAGCACTCTGAGAGGCAGAGCTGGTAGGATGCTTCAGCTCAGGAATTTGAGACTAGCCTGAGCAAAAGTGAGAACTAGCTGGGCATTGTGGCAGGCACCTATAGTCCCAGCTACTCTGGGGGCTAAGACAAGAGGATGGCTTGAACCCAAGTTTGAGGTTGCTGTGAGCTATGACTCCATGGCACTCCTTGCAGGGTGACAGAGTGAGACTGTGTCTCAAAAAATAAAAATAAATAAATGTCATTCTTAGGGAAGTAGAGAAATATGAGGTGGCGGGTTTCTTTGACCTTAGTGTAGCATGATTCTGGGCTTCACAGATTCAAGATTTGACACACATATTTTGTAGGAGGTGGCATGAGGTTATAGTTAAGAGCATGAATCTTAAAAGAATGCGCAGGCTTAAAGAATGGGCTCACTAATCTTGTGGCAGATAGCTTGGTCTCTGGCACCTTCTCTTTGGATATGTATATAAAATGAGGATAATAACAGTGTCTACTGTAAAGTGCTTATAAATGGTGAATAAGATAATGCATTAAAAAACCTAGCATAGTAAATGGGGAATTAATAATCATTTTATACATTAGCTACTACTGTACTAATAGTACTCTTGCAAAGCTTAAATGACCTTAGTTTATTAGACTTTAAGGAATAAATAATTTTTATTCACTTTTATATCCCTTATAGAGCCTGATGAGTACCTTATACAGAAAAATAACAAGTCATCTAATATAGCACTTTCTATATGCCAGATGCTAAACTGAGTATTTGATGTGTATTATCTCAGTGAATTCTCCTTGTTTTACAGGGAAGATACCAGATATTTCTTTCTGGCTTTACAGACTTTATTCAGTACTATTACAGTAGCTGTAGGAACCACTGCAATGGGGTTTGCAGTAGTGTAGAGAAATTGGAATCAACTTTGAATACAACAAGGAAAAATGGGAATTTGTGGAACGTGGGGTGCTTTAGAGAATGGAAAATTACCAAGAGGTTTATATTAGGCTAAGGGAAGATTCTGGCTAAACTATCCTAATAGGATTCTTACAGAAGGCAGGCCGGGGTGATCAGACATTACCTGGAACATGGTAGAGGATGAGGAACCTGAACACGTGCTGAGGGTCATCAGATATCAAGGGCGGGAAATTGTGGTTAACTGACTTAGCAGGATTCTTTGTAAAAATTGCACAGTGTGGCAGTGAACATTGTGGCAAAATTTAAGCCCTCATTGGAAAGAAAATTCATAAAAGCCTGACTAGAATTTGGCCATTCTTTCTTTTATCTCTGTCTTGCTTTTGCTCAGGCTGGTCTCAAACTCGTGAGCTCAGGCAGTCCACCTGCCTTAGCCTCTCAGAGTGCTGGGATTACAGGCGTGAGCCACCGCCCCAGGCCTGGTCTGTTCTTTAGCTGGTCAGTACACTTGGCTCATGTCTTTCTCAACATTATGGAAAATAAAATTAGACATTTATTTTCCTTTTGATTTTTGTTAGAATTTTCTTGTACTACAGAATTTTATATTTAGTACCTATAAGGTAAGGATACTAAAAATGGTTTTTAAAGTCACATAGCTTAGTATCTTTTAAGCCTCTAATCTATTACTCTTTTAAAAAATTAATTAAAATATTATTTTGAATGGGTAATATATACATATAGTATAAAACTGCAAAAAGTGTTGAAGGGAGCTATCCCACCGTGGCCTTTTAGATGCCCAGTTTCCCTTCTTGAAAGCAACATTTTAGCAATTGCTCAGGTATCCACTTAGAGATAGATTCTCTACATAAATTTGTATGTGCCCATGTATACATGTACAGTATAGGAGGTAGCAAAGTAATTACACTGTACTTGAGATTGTTTCAGTGTATGGAGAGGTTGCTTAATTACTTTTTTTTTTGAGGCAGGATCTTGCTCTATCACCCAAGTGCAGTGGTATCCTTATAGCTAACTGCAACCTCAAAACTCCTGGGCTCAAGCAATTCTCCTGCCTCAGCCTCCTGAGTAGCTGGACTACAGGGAGTATTTGTAACCATGCCTGGCTAATTAATTTTTCTTTCTTTCTTTGCTACTGCTGCTTCTTTTTTTTTTTTTTTTTGTAGAGACAGATTCTCATTTTTGCATAGACTGGATCTCCCAGCCTCAAGAGATCCTCCTGCCTCATCTTCCTAAAGTGTTAGGATTATAGGCATGAGCTACCATGCCTGGCCATAATTATGCTCTTTAAGGCTACATAGCTTGCTTTTGTATGGATGACCGTAATTTTTTAAACCAGTTTCCCACTGTTAAACATTTAGATTATTTCTAGTTTCTTGCCATTACAGTGTTGCAGTACCTTGCATTCATTTCATTTTGCCCCATCTGTAAATATCATCTATAGCAGTGGTTCTCAACCTTCCTAATGCTGTAGCCCACAGTTTTTGTGGGTCGAGACCCACAGGCTGAGAACTGCTGATTTACAGGGTAAATTTCTGAAACAGGCTTTATTGTCAGAGTGTGTGCTTTAAATGTATTGTCAACAACTGTTTTTCCTGGTTCTGTAATAGTTTCTGCTTCCATACTGTGTTCATGTACTCGCACTCTGGACATCACGGGATATCAAACTTTTTGATCTTTGTGAATTTGGTCAAAAAATATATTTCAAAGGCTACCACTCTGGGAGGCTAGGTGGGTGGATTGCTTGAGCTGAGGAGTTTGAGACCAGTCTGAGGAAGAGGGGCGCTATGGCAGGAGCCTGTAGTCCCAGCTACTCAGGAGGCTGAGGCAAGAGGATAACTTGAGCCCCAGAGTTTGAAGTTGCTGTGAGCTATGACACCATGGCATTCTACTAAGGGCAACAAAGTGAGACTCTGTCTCTCCCCCCACCCCCCAAAATATATATGTATATATATACATAGGCATATGTTTCATATAGTTGAAGTTTTATTTGAAATTCAAATTAAGTTGAAAAGATACAACCTTTTCTGTTTATTAACCTCTCCTATGACTCTTTTAAGTTCATATAAATTATTTATCTGATAAATAATTATTATTTAAATAAAATAATAAAAACCTCTCCTATGACCCTTTTAAGTTCATATAAATTATTTATCTGATAAATAATATTTAAATAAAAATAAATAATATTTTTATTCTGATAAAAAATTAATAAAAATTTCAGTGTTAAAGAGAACTTAAACTTTGTGTAACCATGTTGTTTAATGCAATCAAAATATGGACTTCTGGGCTTTATTAGATTTTAGTTAATAAGTGTGCTACTTAGTTTTAATTGACATTCACCATTCTAACTTAAACTGACTTCCAGTTTTATATTATACACAGTTTCCCTGTGGGGTTTAAGGTATTGAGCTTACATAAAAGAATGTGTGAAGGATGGTGATGTTATGAGCCCTGAAGGCTGTGTATAGCAGAGTCCTGGGAAGCTGTGATATAGTTATAAATTTTATGTTAATCAGTGCTATATATTATGTGAGAAAGTGAAATCTGGTGGTTAAGTTGAGCCCTTAAATCTGTGTGTTGGCAACTTCAGCAATATGACATATAAGTCTGTTGTTATTTTTTATTTTAAAATTTATTTGTATTTATTTATTTTTTGAAGGTAGAATCTCACTTTGTCACTGTCAGTAGCATCGGTAGAGTGCTGTGGTGTCATAGCTCACAGCAACCTAAAACTCCTGGGCTTAGGCAATTCCCTTGGCTCAGCCTCCCGAATAGCTGGGACTACAGGTGCTCGCCACAACGCAAGGCTGTTTTTTGTTACAGTTTGGCCAGGGCTGGGTTTGAACCCGCCGTTCTTGGTATATAAGGCTGGTGCCTATTTGTATTTATTTTTGAGATGAGTTCTTTCTCCGTTGCCAGGCCTGGAGTGCTCACAGCATCTTCCAACTCCTGTGCTCAAGGATCCTCTGGCCTCAGTCTCTGAAGTGCTATGATTTATAGGTGTGAGCCACTGTGCCCAACCAGTTTGTCATTTTATAATCTGGCCTCAAACTCATTATTCTGGCTACCCTCTCATTACCGATTTCTTTCACTACCCTTAGTCTGCTTATGTTAACATCTTAATAGTTGCAGATATTCATTGCTTGTGGCTTAGCATCTGCTGTTCCTTCTCCTTAGGATTTTCTACCTCCCATTTTCTTAATAGACATCAAGGCTCAGCTCAAGTATCACCTTTGTTTTTAAGTTGTCCATAGCTACTATAGTCAGAGTTATTTCCCTTTCTCATTCATCTTTGCTTTGTCAGCACCTACCATAGAACTTGATGTACCAGTAATAAATTAAAAGATTTAATAAGAATATTTCATAGTCCAAGGAATTCTAGGACTAGGCTTTATTCTAAATCAGTTGATTCAGTTTACATAGAAAAAAATTTAAACATTTAGGAGGTGTGTATAGTTTGCTTTGGAATCGTCCATCTATAGAATCTAAATGACTTGAGAGACTAAGTGTACCTGGTTTAGTCATCATTAATATGAAAGACTTGCATCTTGTGTATGTTTGGATGTTGATTTGTGATAAAAACTTAATTGTAGCTGGGTGCGGTGGCTTACTCCTGTAATCCTAGCACTGTCGGAGGGTGAGAGTGGAGAATTGCTTGAGCTCAGGAATTTGAGACTTGTCTGAGAGAGGAGAGAGAGATCCTGACTCATTAAAAAAATGAAAAACCCAAGTGGGCACCATGGTGAGCGCCTGTAGTTGCCTACAGGCCAAGTCTGAGGTTGCAGTGAGCTATGATGCCATTGCACTCTGCTCAGGGCACAGAGTGGGACTCTGTCTCAACAACAACAACAACAACTCCCTCCCCCCTTAACTTTATAATGTTATTCTGTTTATACAGAGAAAGTCCAAGCACATGGACGTAGAAGGAGACGTACTATTGGAAAGAAAAGGTTGTGCAGGAGTGATAACACTGAACAGACCCAAGTTGCTAAATGCACTGACTCTTAATATGATTCGGCAGATTTATCCACAACTAAAGGTTTGTAATATTCTTAAAAGCAATTATGTGGATCCTTCTAAAAGTATATCATAATAGAACATTTCTGATATTTTCTCGCATAGAATCATAGGTCTCTGGGATCCAAGCTCCATTGATTGTTGAGTCCTCATTGCCTTCCCTGGGGAGTTATCCTTGGACACCTCTGGTGATAGGGAGTTGATTACTTCCTGAGATAGCCCTTTCACTTTTATATGACTTGCTCTGATTTGTTCATAAATTTCTTCTTGTTTTCTGCCACTCTTTGTTTCTCTGACCTTCCAAGCAGTGATATTGGCTTTGCTTCTTTGGGCTCAATCTATACAAATCTAATCTGTTTCCATATTATAACCGTTTGGTTTGAAGCTATTTTTAAACTACTTGTTCTGCTTTTTCTTAGAGAAGGCCATAAACTTTTCTAAGTGAACAGCATAAGACAATAGAAAAACATAGGACTGAAAGTCAGACTATTTGGTTTGAAACTTAGATTTCTCCTTATTAACCATGTAGGCTGGGGTAGTTAATCTCTTTGTGCTTCACTTTCCTCAGCTGTGAAATGGGGATGATGGTATTTCATAGGATGGTTGTGAAGATTAGGTGAATAGTATATGTAAGTACCTAATATATTCTACCTTGTAGGTGTTGAATAAATACTAGTTTTCTCCCTGGCCACTAGTTCTTTAATTCTTCATTTGATGAGTCTATCTTCCATTCTTGTTTTTGTTTGGGGTACCTTATAGTATGTTCTAAAGTATGATACCTGGAAATAAGCCAAGTGTTGCAGATAAGAATTGGAACAGAGTGGAAGTAGAAACTTCTATGTATAACATATTCCTATTAATGTAGTTCCGTATTGCATGAACCTTTTGGACGGTACATACTTTCCATATGTATTTATATATTTATTCTGTTGCAAAGTTGAGCATCTTAATCTGAAATGCTCCAAAATTCAAAACTTTTTAAAGGCCGGCATGATGCTGCAAGTGGAAAATTCTACACCTAACCTTATGTGTTGAGTCTCCATTAAAACACAGATGCACAAAACAGTTTATTCAGTATCCGTGAAGGAACAAATTGAATTACCTTTGGGCTGTATGTCTAAGGTATATATGAAATATAACGGAATATCATGTTTAAACTTGGGTTCCAACTCTAAGATACCTTACTATGTATATGCAGATATTCTAAAATTTGGAAAAATGTGAAATCTAAAACACTTCTGGTCCAAAGAATGTCTAATAAGAGATACTCAACCTGGTTAGAACTTACAGAATGTGTATTAGTTTCTTTGTGTTTAGTTAATTCATTTTTCATTTGGACCATTGTTCTAGCCATTCAAATTTCTGTTGGTTCTTGATTCTTTCATCCTGTTTATTAGCTGTCTTCATCAATCCCAAATCACTTGCATGTTTGGTCAATATCATAAGTGGTTTCACTCTGTTAACTTAAAAATTTGTCAATAGGGCAGAGAGCCCTCTATCACCAGAGTAGAAGGGTTATTGCCCTGTTTATCAGCAGTTTTGGATTGTTTTCCAAATTTATAATTCTATGTAACATTATGAAGGCCCTATTTGTTTACCTTGATCTCAAAGTTATGGCAAAGATTTCAGATGCTGTCTTGAAATTTGGATCACAAAATAGACCCATCTACTAACTTTGTTGAAATAGCTTCCACTTTATCTCAGAAAATGAAGTTTCTTCAAGAAGGAATGGTATAGGATTCATTCTTCTGGATATGCTTTATAAAATGATGTATATGTGTGTGTGTGTATATATATGCATGTGCATTCATATGTATGTGAATGTGTATGCGTATATCTTTAATGAGTTGTATTTATAATATGCTTGTACTGTCGTCTTTTATGTTTGGATAGAGGTGGGAACAAGATCCTGAAACTTTCCTGATCATTATAAAGGGAACTGGAGGAAAGGCCTTCTGTGCTGGGGGTGATGTCAGAGGTAAAAACCTTTTCTGTCCTCACTTACGTGCTTTTTTTTCCTACTAGAACTGATAAAGTATTGGCATATTTTTGTAGTAATTTGTAATTTGCTTTACTTTTTAGAATTTTTGTTATGAAGTCAATATTCTTATGAAAAGTACATATGCTTAACTTACAAAAATCAAAAATGTAAAGACTTTTTGTAGTTAATATTAGAAAATGAGGAGAATAGTGATTTTTTTAAAAAATTACATATGTGTATTTTTTTTTCTTTTTTCTTTATTATTTATTTTTTATTAAATCATAGTTGTGTACATTAATACTATCATGGGGTACAGTGTGTTGTTTCCATATACAATTTGAAATACTTTCATCCAATTGGCCAACATAGCCTTCATGTCATTCTCATAGTTGTTAAGACATTTATATTCCACATTTAGAAAGATTCACATGTACCCTTATAGGATAAATCATAGGATAAATCACCCCTCCTCCCATTCTCCCCCCTTCCCTCCCCTCCCTCTCCCCTTTCCCCATATTCTTGGGCTAAAATTGGGTTATAGCTTTCCTATGATAGCTAAATATTAGTTTCATAATAGGGTTGAGTACATTGGATACTTTTTCTTCCATCATATGTGTACTTGTGAAATTTAGATACAAAATATATAAATTTGAATCATCACTGAGTCATTAACATCCCTGAATTATCACAAATAAAATGTCCAGTTATGGTATGTGGGTCCGCTTTATAGTTTGGGCCAGCTGATATTTAATGTTTCTATTAGAAACATAACCAGATAATCTGGCCATGTTCAGTGACTTACCAGTCTCTAAATATGACATGCTCTCATATTTCCATAAGTATTTCACAGGCTTTCCTAGTGTTCATGATTTGAAAGCAAGCACCCTCCATGTACTTAGTGATAGCATTTATTATATTTTTACGTGTGTTTAAACATACTGGGAAAAATAAAAGGATAAATTTTCCTTATTTTTCCTAATTGTTCAGTTGTTTATAATATGTACACATTTAACTATTAAAGACAAAACAGAGATCTGAGCAGCCTTTTGGAATGTGGTCCTGGCATGCCACTCCAGCAGGCCATAAACCAGCCTGCCCGCACCCCCCTGTGCCCACAGCCACAAACCACAAAGAGGATGCAAAAAAAAGACAAAACAGAAAAGTGTTTGTTCTCAGGATCAAAGTCATGTAGTTGTCCATATTATATATACGGTAGAACCTCTGTAAGTTGACCACCCACGGGACCGTAACATTTAAACTGGTCAACCTAAGGAACTAAGCCTACTGTACTGATACGCACCTGTGGTTCATGTTCAGTCTATGAAAATTAGGTCAACGTAAAGAGGTGGTCAGTGTAGGGAGTGGTCAACTGTATAGTATACTGAAAACTATTTTTATATATTTTATTTCTTATGGAATTGGTAAGGCCTAAGGATGGTTTTACCCCTTTTCAAGTTTTATATATGTGTTACAATTTTTGGCTTGCCCACCAAATTTAGAAGTTTTATGTAAACCATTACTTTAGGAATAGTATACAAGCAGGTTCAAGATATAGTTTTAAATACCTACTATGTATTACATTTAAAGTAACTACATTTTAAAGTCAAAAAATTACAGTTTAATGGAAACTTATCAGTGAAAGTTTCAGAATGACACAAGTATGTCAGATTTTTCTCTTAAAAACCAGGAACGGAAGTCAACATGTGGAATATTTTGAAGGAAGATATATCAGCATTCTAGAGTGAGTGTAAAAAGCTATGGCCAGCAATTTTTTATGTAATGCTTTCCATAAAGGAGGAAACATGTTACATTTAATTTGTATTTTAATAGATAATTCCCTTAGGACTTAAGGCAGAAAAGACAAATGAGCTTACAGTATATGGATGAAAACTTTGATAGCCATCTCAAGATTGACTGGAGTGAGAGCCCAGGTGATGTGAATCCTGGATAACAGAAGATTGCAATGGAAATGAATCATTTAATAATGTTTGTTATTCAGCAGATATTTACTGAGCATTTGTTTATTAAGCCAAGCAGTAGTATGCTGCAGTCAAGACTTTGAGAAGTCACATTTCCATCGGTAATAAATAAGAACGTTATTATCTTATTTGCTTCTATAGCCTTACCTTTTCCCTTCTGCTTTTAGTTTTTTTTTTTTTTTTTTTTTTGGCCGGGGCTGGATTTGAACCCACTACCTCCAGCATATGGGACTGGCACCCTACCCTTTTGAGCCACAGGCGCCACCCTGCCTTTAGTTTTTAAAACTACTTGATTCTTGATTTTACCTTTTTCTTTTCTGCCTTTGTGCCTTTTTAGGGTACTGCTTCCCCTTTTGCTTTCTCTCATTTTCTAGGAAATTTGTACCTACATTTTCAAATTTGATATAGGCTTACCACTTCTGGAAAGCCTTCTTTTAATTACATGTTTCTTGCTCCTACATGTCATATTCTCACAGTACCCCATTTTTACCTAGTGTGCCTAGCACAGAGAGTGTGCTTTAGCAGTCTGTCTTTTTCATTAGTCTGAACTCTGAAGCAGCCACCTTATATGGCTGTCTTGTAATCTGCAGCACCTGAAACAGTGCATGGTACACAGTAGATGCTCAATAAATATTTCATGGGGGGAAATGCATATGGCAGAACTGTTTAACTAGATGGAATACACTGTAGCACTACACGTTCACACTTGTGCCCACATGTATTCTGTATTAAGATGCATTACCTAAGGAAACGTAAGTCTAGCACATGCTTATGCAAGTGGTAGAGAAAACAAAAAATATGCAGCTTATAGCAATATATAATTTCTAATTTAACTGTAACATTTTGTAAGAAGTATAGAAAGTAAGAATAGGAGTTTTTGCCTTGAAGCTTTGACATTAGACTATGGATCTGTGACTGACTATAATACATTTGTGGCATGGCACAGATATTCAAAACTTTAACAAGCCGTTTTAGTGTACCCCTCTCCCTTATTTAATTATCATAATACTTTTAATCTATTTGATTATTATTGACTAGAAAATAACTTTTTATTTGTAATTTTTCCTTCTAGTGATCTCAGAAGCTGGAAAGGCAAAAGAGAAGATGGTTCAAGATTTCTTCAGAGAAGAATATATGCTGAACAATGCCATTGGTATGTGTGCTCTGCTGTGAGCTTTGAAAATGGAATAAAAAATAAGGTGGACAGTGATTTGTTGAAAATATATCAATGGGTATTCTTACTTAAACTTTTACCTACTGTGTGTCAGGCATAAATAAAGTTGATTAAGCTAGTCTGACTGCTTATTACAGAACTGATTATTTAGCTGGGTTTCTTGGAAAATAAAAAACTTGGTCCCAGTGTTCTCTATAAAGTGAACTATCGTATGTCCTAATTCTTGGGAGTGAAAACTTTTTCATATTCTAGTCCTTGTGAATGTGAATTCTGAGATCTGCTTTGGTGGCTCATTGGCTAATTGGGAATAATACTTATA